GGTCTGCAATCGTCGGTCTGTGACACAGCCTGAGCGCGAGCGATGCAGACGTCAGCTTCGGGTCTCATAAGCCGTTCCCCGAAGTTCGGGTTTTGGGAGCTCGGGTTTAGGGTTTAGGGTTTAGGGTTTAGGGTTCTGGGTATCAAGTCAACTATGCTTCTATCTAGGGGGTCCGTTTACAGACCCTGTAAACCCCAGAAGCCCAAGCTCCCAAACCGCATAAACCCGGAATGCCCGCATAAATCTTGCAAGATTCCCCAGACCCTATAGAGTGAACACTGTACACCCTCAACCCCCTACAAGCCCTGCAACCCCAAACCCTCCTTTGTAACCCTAAAGTCAGCCCCGAGTAAGGCGCGCTCTTCACGGCCTTCGTGGCCGCGCCCCGCGCTGCCCCGGCCCCGACCGCGCCCCACGCGGCCACCGCAGCCTTGAGCAGCGCTGGCAGAAAGGGAGGGGGTTTAGGGGGGGTTTTGGGGGGTTTAGGGGGGTTTGGGGGGTTTTGGGGTGTTTAGGGGGTTTACGGGGTTGAGGGGGTTGAGGGTGTTTAGGGGGTTTAGGGGGTTCAGGGTTGATACAGGTTGCACGGGCTTGCAGGGTTTGTGGCGCTTATTAGGGGGCTTCAGGGCTTCTAGGTTTACAGGGCTTATGGGGTTCGCCCGGTGTAGGTATAAGGGCTTATAGGTTGCATGGGTTTAGGGTTTCAGGGTTTCGGAAGCATTTCTACAGAGCCCGTAGTCTTTAATTTTGGAAGGGGGCTCCATGTTTTGGGTAGCCTGGCTGGGGTGAGGGTCCTGAAGAACGCATTAGACCACACAGAAGCGAACGTCGTTCAGAGAATATCTTACGACTTCATAGCGTGAGCCACCTTCTGTTTTGCGCTGTAACTGCCTGGGTGAAGCTTCTTTCGGACTTTCCTCATCCTTTGCACCAAAATCCTTTTTGCACGAATCCTGCATCGCCGACCTCACTCATCCTCACGTTAAATTCATGCACCTGTTTGCCTATGTTTGCCTCAAGCATGTTGAATGCTGAGGTGCCGTGACGTTGGTGGCCCCCGAGGCAGCCCATGCGGAGGCATTCCCGAGTAATTATCGGCCTTGTGCGGCTGAGCGTATACCCTCCACGAGGGGAGTCTGTGTGGAAGGGAGGTGAAGTGTGTTGTAAGCCCTGAACCCATACGGCCTTGATTAGACGGCCCCTTTTTTTGTTTTGGCTTTGTTCTCTCTGAGCCAGTGCTGAAGCGAGTGCAGCAAGTGGTGTTTGGATCTGCGACCCCTCGGTGCTACAGCATGATCCCCACCCCAGCCGACGTTAGTGGGGAATTACTTGACGTGGGATCCCGGCCACTTCGTCCATTGCAGTCAGTGTGGCCTCGCAGGGCGGCGCCGTGTGGATCCCTGCGCTCTCGGCCATCGGCGCCGGATTCGCCATCGGCCTCGCCGCCATCGGCTCGGGCGTGGGCCAGGCTGCGTGGTTTGCTAGGCTTCCGGTGGCTACCAGCGACTTGGTGGTAGTCCTAGACGGTTGCTGCATGTTTTCGGCCGTCAGGCTAGCCATGACCAGGAATCTGGTAAGCCATCGAACGAACGATTTCACGATTGCAGGCTTATCTCGGCAGGGGCCAACAAGGTTCTTGAACTCCTGCTTCTTGTCAAGGTTACTTCTGTAGCCAGCCAGAAGGGAACTTCCTCTACACCCTCACACTGTCGCCCTGCAGCCTCATGAGAGTCTCGCATCTCGGGTGTTGTTTTCAGTTGTGTGTTGTTTAAGAGTGATGAAGGCCCGAAGAGACTCAGAGTGTGTAATGCTAGCAGAGTACGTCATATCAGTATAGCATCTTTCTAGCATAGTGCTAGTAGAATTAGATTTTGCAGTTACTGTACATTGTGTATCTTTAGACCACAACATCTGGGCACGTAGGAGCCGTGCCCTCCCTCTCAGCCTTTAGAGGTGGCGGGGGGGGGGGGGGGGGGGGTTTAGGGTTTAGGGTTAGGGTTAGAGGTGGTTGGAGTTTAGGGTTTATGACGCAGGTTTAGGATTTTTTTACGCAATCCATGGTTTAGGGTTTTTAACGCAGTTCAGGGCTTAGTGTCCAAGGTTTACATAGGAGTTACTGTTAAACGGCCGCAGGGTATTGCCAGCGGCCGCTGCATTGACGGCATCTCCCGCCAGCCGGAGGCCTTTGAGAACTCTCTGCTTCAGGGGCCGTTTGAAGGTGTAGGTACTAAGTGCCCTCCGCAACCCCCAACAAAGTGACAAGCAGTTTTAAAAAAGATACCTACTGCACTTCTTGCTATTCACGCGCCTCCAACCAGGCTCCACAAACCCTAAACTCTACACATAGCTGACATAGCTGCTTATTGAATTCAAGTAAACCCTATACACCCTAAACCCTTGAAAGTAAACCCTAAACCCTAAACCCTAAACCGTAAACCCTAAACCCTAATGGGTTTCCAGCACTGGCAGGTCGCGGACGACCTCCGTGGTGTGCTGCTGCTTGGCGGAAGCAGGGGCTTTGCTCCCCAGCCCGCTCAAAGACTCAACAGCATAGTACGCCAAGTACACAGATTACCATGTGCATGTTGTGGCGACAGCTGGCTAGAATGGGAAGCATCTCACAACCCTAAACCCTGCAACCCTAAACCCTGCAAACCCTATAAACCCCAAATCCACAGAACCCCGAGACCCTATAAGCCCTATAAACCCCATAAACTCTACAACCCTAAAACCCTAAACCCAAAAACCCCAAAACCCTAAGACCCCAAAACCCTAAAACCCTAAAACCTTACAAACCCTATAAACCCTGTAATCCCTGAAACCCGAAAACCCTATAAACCCAATAAACCCTATAAACAGTATAAACCCTATGAGCCCTAAGACCCTAAAACCATCTTAGGGTTTAAAACTCAACGCCCTGAACCCTAAACCCTAAGCCCTGAACCCTATAAACCCTAAGCCCTACAACCCAAAAACCGTAAAACCCTAAACCCTTAGGCGCCCAAATTCATCTTAGGCTGCTGTCTCTGGCCTTCATGGAGTCTTTGACCATCTACGGCCTCGTGATTGCGCTGGCGCCCGCCCCGGCTGGCGCAAGGGAGGGCATGAGGGTTTAGGGTTTAGGGTGACTCCGAAGCCCTCAACTCTGACTCCTGAGCCCTAAACTAGGGTCTAAGGGTTCAGGGGGTAGAAGTCGAAGGCCACAACTTGCAGCATGTGGACGGCTCTCAATTGTGGTCCCTTGCGGGGGTTTCTTACATATTCACGGTGCCGCCAAAGGGGCCGCACTTCAGAGAGCTACCCATGCAATATGATCAATGCTTCTCTGTCTGATGATTAAGTGGCGATTAAAGTGGCTGCGGGACATTGCAGAGCAGAAGAGCGACACTGCGCTTTCTTGACCGAACGGTGTCACCCCAAGCCTGACCTGCACCCCATGGTCCAAAAGCCTTGCAGCACGTTAATTGGCCCCAAGCCTGAGAAACCCTAAGCCCCTAAAGCCCCTATATAAACCCTATATAAACCTAAGCCCTAAAGCCCTATATAAACCCGATATAAACCCTAATAAAACCCTATATAAACCCCTGGCACCCTGAGTCCTAGAGAGAACCCTGACCGCAGCCTCCAAAGGTGCTCCTCTTCGCGAACCCGCTGATCAAGTGAGCAAGACCTCGGCGAAGCAGAGGCAGTTCTCCAGGGCTAAAGAGTTGAACAGCACGAAGACCAGAGTACTTAAATTGCAGCAATCCACGGAGTCGACGTATACCTGCACGTTCAGACGAAAGATCCTCCACTGCGGAATGTCACTGCTATAGGCCTCTATAGGCCGGTCGTTGGCAAAGATGACACGGCGTGAGAAGGGGCAAGGAGAGCCGGCGCGGTAAGAAAGTGGCTCTTTGGTTCCATTCTGAGCCCCCTCCCTAAACCCTATAGCCCTGAGACGATAGCCCCTTTAGGAATTTGTTCGTTTATTCTTGTTCATATAAAACACCTATAAAACCCAAGGGAATATGAAAGATAGTATTTTCATTAAGGTTCTGCGGGCAGGAAAGAAGACCCGGATAGGGATGAGGGGTGGACGTTGCGTTGACGCGACAAGGGTGCTCGGAGAAAAGTAGTTTGGGGCCATCCGGGTCTGGGGATTCAGGGGTAATGGGGTTTAGGGTTTAGGGTTTAGGGTTTAGGGTGGGGCTGACAGACTGACAGAGCTGTTTGGTGCGTCAGCCTATCGACTGTCAATGCCCCTCCTCGTCCTCACAAAGCAACAGCATTCTCCGCTGCCTCCTGGCCCAGCTTTAATTAGCTTTTTCCTCGCCACACTGCTCCCGCTGCCCGCACCTCCGCCCACTGTCTTCGAAGCAACTCGACTTTTGCATGGGGGAAGGGTTGGCTTAGGGGGAAGGTGGCTCGGGCTCGGAGGTCTCCAACACCACTTGTGCTACGTTACACTACCCACCCGAATCTGTTGTGCTGGCCAGTCCTCCTTGCCGAACACCCACGTGCATCACGCGTGACCCTCTCCTATAATGCGGTAGCCTTGCGAACCCCAACCCACCTCATACACGTCGACGTCAATCTGACGGTTGGGGCTGTGCGTGGGATTTGGGTGTGCTGGTGGGATGTACAGTGTTCGGGGTTTCAGGGTTCAGGGTATCTAGGCTAGCCAGAAGCCCTTAAGACCTTGACCAGTCAGGCGCCAAGGCATTGTCAAATGAGGATAAGACTTGAAGCAAGTAGGTCCAGGGTTCAGGGCTGTGTATAACGCGGTCTAATCTTTGTTTCTTTCTTGCTCTCTTTGTATCTTTCTCTCTCTCGCTCTCTCTCCCCCTCTCTCTCCCTCCTTATATATGTATATATATATATATATGTGGGCATACTCACATGAAGACATATATCTTATATGCACATAGAAATCAGATACTTTGCCGCGCTGGGAGCCTCCCTCCCTCCCTCCTTCGCCCTCCCCCCGACAAGCCGAGCCTCCATTGGGCGAACAGAGGATGGCCCGCTCCCTCGTCTTGACCGGTGCTGTGCTCCTCTGCAGCGGCCAGGGACCAAGTTTTTGGTAGGGGCATAGGGTTTGTGGGGAGACTGGAGATGTTTGGGAGGCAAGCTTTCTAGCCACAAGCAGTTTTTTGATGGCACCCCATAGGGATGCCCTGAACCCAATCGCCCCCCAAACCCTTAAGCCAAGACCCTAAAAACCGCAGGGAGCTTCTGAACCCCAGGTTTGGAAGAGTCGTAGGCGGGCAGAAATTCTTACAGGGCGGATTCAGATGGCCTTCCCAGAACAGCCTAGACCTGACTTCAGTACCGAGCATGAACACCGCAGTGAATTCCCCGTTTCACACCCCTCCATCGCGAGCCCGCGACCACCGCGCCGAGATGGCTGCAGGTGCGCTCTTCACGGCCTTCGTGGCCGCGCCCCGCGCTGCCCCGGCCCCGACCGCGCCCCACGCGGCCACCGCCGCCTTGAGCAGCGTGGCAGAAAAGGAAGGTTGCAGGACTAAGGGTTCGGGGTTTAGGGGGTTTAAGGCGTAGGATTGGCGGCCTATATGTAGGCTAGTGTTTTAGGGCTTGGCACTTGGCACTTCGAATCTTTTTATGTTGGACTAGACTTCCCGGATTGGGGTACCTTCCGCGTTTCAGGTCGGGATGGGGGCTGACTAAGTTTAATTATTATAACAAGACTCTGGCAAGGTGGGGCTTTGAAGGAGTTCGGGGCAAACGCGATGGAATCCTGAAAGAAGCATGTTGAGGCGCCGTGACGTTGGTGGCCCCCGAGGCAGCCCATGCAGAGGCATTTCCGAGTGCTCTGTTTGTTATTCTCTGTCTCGTGGCGTTACTGCGAGTGATGCTTGGGTCTCCGCATGCGCTTTGGGATGAGAGTCCCCAGCCCCCCGCTAATTTCATGTATGTTCATGTCTATTGTTGTGGATTGTGGCTAGGGTACGGCTTTAGGACAAATTTTGCTGCATCTGGAGAAACCAGACACGGGGCCTGAAAAGATGCGGAGTAGTGTTGGCTTTCCGGCCTCGCAGGGCGGCGCCGTGTGGATCCCTGCGCTCTCCGCCATCGGCGCCGGATTCGCCATCGGCCTTGCCGCCATCGGCTCGGGCGTGGGCCAGGCTGCGGTGGTAGTTCCTTGACGTTTGCTTCCCTGCCGGCGAATGTAGGGGCCTTTAAACTTAGAACAGGGTTTTGGTATGATTACGCAGGGACCACAAGGGAATGTTATTAATTAGCAATTATTCCGACCTTAAACCCTAAACCCTAAACCCTATGGTAGACATGAAAACACATCAAGTAAGCCATCGAACAAAGGAGCTACAATCGCGAGACTTGCCTCGGCAGGGGGCGCCCTCAAAGCTTTCAAGCAAAGTGAGCGTTTAGGGTTTAGGGTTTAGGCTTAAGATCCTGCACAGAAGAAAATCCCTCAATTCGACCTCTTTGTAGTCAGTTCAGCTTTCTTGGCACATCGGAAGAGAATGAGGACATCCCCCCTGCCCACCAAACCCAAAGCCCGTAACCCCAAACACCAAACCATGCATGTGGTCAGAGCGCCCCTCTCCTCCCCCCCTCGTCCATGGCATCCCCCGCCGTGGTGCACTGTAGTGCGGGCTTTTTGAAGTTAGGGTTTAGGCTTTCGTGTATAGAATAGGGTTAGGATTTAGGGTTTAGGGTTTTTAGCGTTTAGGGTTATAGGGTCTAGGGTTTACGGGCTTAGGGGTTTAGAGGTTTCAGGTTTGCTGTAATATGGCGCAGATGTTGTGAAGGTTGGGTTGCAGAACTGGCTCGACAGCTTCGCCAGGTGCAAAGAGCAGCTATGGCCCGATTGTGGAGGGCCATCTAATGCTTTTCGGCCCCCGCGCCGTCTAAGGTGGCAAAGCCAACCAAACCTATTCCGTTTAGGGCTTAGGCTTAAACTGATTTTGCTTACCTCAAAACAGACGATGAAGATTAATGGGCTGTCCCAGTGTCCATCTGGGGCTTGGGTGGTTTCAGAGGGTCAGCAAGTCCCATAAGATTTCCAGGAGGCATGTTGCGGTGAAAGGGCCGGACACCCTGCGCCGCCAGCCGCCAAAAGTAGGAGTGCCGGCCTTGATGAGAACGGGCCATCGTGGGTGCCACCGACCTCCGAGCTGTGAGAGGCGGGTGAACGACCGTCGAGGCCCTGAAGCGACCCCCCCCACCTCTCAAAAGGCCCGAGCCTTGAGCTCAGGGTTGGGAGTGGGGGGGGGGGGGGTGGGGAAGCGGCGAACCGCGAACCGCGATGTATATGTATATGTAAATGTAAATGTACATGTATATGTATATGTATATGTATACGTGTTTATATGTATATACAAATATATATATATATATATATATGTATATAGATCTCTCTCTCTCTCTGTACAGTTCTGGGTTCCAAGGTTTTTTGGGCAATCACAAAGCAGGGGGCCAGCGCTCTCCCTGGGGGCCAGCGAAAACGCCCCCAGGTAGGGGTGAAAACGTACCTGCTTGTAACTTCTAGCTAACTCTTCCGGGGGTGTCAAAGTGTGTATGTGTGTAAAGATAACAGGTTTCTATGTTCACCTCATTATGTATGTTGCGAATTTTCTAGGGTTTTATTAGGGCTTAACGTCCGCAGGGAATTGCCAGCGGCCGCTGCATTGATGGCATCTCCCGCCAGCCGGAGGCCTTGCGCCACTCATAGTCACGTGCGACAGTGCTAATGAACCCCCAAGCCGGCCCTCAACCCCAAAACCATACATATGACTGTAACCAAGAACTTCCATGACCCTCCGAGTCATGGGTTTACCAGCACACTGGGAGGTTGCGGACGACCTCCGTGGTGTGCTGCTGCTTGGCGCAAGCAGGGGCTTTGCTCCCTTTGCTCAGCCCACTCAAAGACCCAACAGCATGGCATCATATTTCGGTCATTGTCGGATTGTTCCATCTTCAGGGGATTTGTACAATCTGGACATGTCCAAGCAACAGTCCGTAGTAGGCACTATTTTTTATATTCTCACTTCGTCCGGGGGCGGAGGAGTACAGTTTCTTATTGTGACATCTGTTGTAACCGGGGGTAAACCCGTCTTAGGCTGCTTTCTCTGGCCTTCATGGAGTCTTTGACCATCTACGGCCTCGTGATTGCGCTGGCGCCAGCCCCGACGTGGGAGCTGACGACGCAAGTGAGGGCTGAAGTAGGTGATCATAAAGGAGTCAACCGCTTCAGGTTTTGGGGGTTTCGGGTGTGCAGCCGCCTTTTTTTGAGGTATTTGAGTAATTAGCCAGTCTAGTAGTCAACCCTTGTGACTTCACGTCCCCCAGCCCTAACCCCGAAAGACCCTACACCCTGCATAAATTAATTGCAAGGGGATTGGACTTGCTTCCAGGTGTGCTGAGTCACATTGAGGTCTGTGCAGCACCCATAGAGCACAATGACGTCTCTCTGCTTCTTTGATGCCAGCCCAAACCCTTATCCCTAAAAGTATCCCATGGGGTTCAGGGTTTAGGGTTCAGGCTTTAGGGTTTAGGGTTTAGGGTTTAGGTTACCATCACACCCTAAACCCTGTTTATCAACGTCTCAGTGTGCCAATTCATGGAGACAGATAGTCACCCGAAGTCCGAAGGACTTCAGACATTCAAGCCTGTAGACCCTGAGCCTTTTCAACATCTGAAAGGCCCCTAAAAGCCGATAAGGCCCTTATATAGTAAAGCGCCCAAGCTCTGGTATCCTGAGCCCTAGAGAACTAGAGCACAGCCTCCACAGGTGCTCCTCTTCGCGAATCCACTCATCAAGTGAGCAAGAGCTGGGCGAAGTAGAGGAAGTTCTCCAGTAAGGTCTGTCGACCAGCATGTTCAATTGCAGCTGCCTAGAGGCAGAGGTGGGCGTGAGAAGGGGCAAGGAGAGCCGGCGCTGTAAGAAAGTGGCTCTTGGGTTCTGGCTGCGGCTTCTCTCCCCCCCCCCCCAAAAAAAAAGAGATCTTGATAGGGTCTAGGGATGCTCGAGGAACAGTAGATTGGGTTTTTTGAGGTGCAGTTGCTGCAGAAGGGGGTTGACAGGACACTGTTTGATGCGTCAGCCTATCGACTGTCAATGCCGCTGCTCGTCCTTCCAAAGTATGGCATTCATTCTCCGCTGCCGCCTGGCCCAGCGTTAGCTTTTTTTCGCCGTCCTGCTCTCGCTTCCCGCACCTCCGCCCACAGTCTTCGAAGCCACTCGACTTCACATTCGTTCATAATTCGCCTGAGGTTGGGTCGGAAGGCCTTAGTGTGCCACGATCATGTCCCATGTCTGGCTCGGGCTCGGAGGCCTCAAGCACCATTTATGCTAGATCAGCATCCACGTGCATCAACACTCCGGCAGAAGGCAGTAGCCTAGCGAACCCCAGTCCCTGTGTAAAATCCCAAATCCGAAGGCACAGCAGGTTGAGGTATCCAGGGAGCAAAAGGGACGATCCCAGGGCAGTTTGGCATCCCCCGAAAACCGGGGCTTCGGGTGTTCAGGGTTTGGAGTTTTAGTTGTATAGGGCAGGGTTCTTACGGGTTTAGGTTGCAGGACTCAGGGTAAGGGGACCAACGCACCTCATACACAAGTTGACGATCCGGAGTGCGTGGGATTTCGAGTGCTAGTGGGATTTGCCGGGTTCAGGCTTTCAGGGATCTATCTGGACCGGTGCTCACTACACCCTGCAAGCTCTTAGCCTGGGATGCCCCTCAACCCAGACAACCCTAAACCGCCCTGAAGCCTTGACCAGTCAGGTGCCAGGGCCTTGTCGAAAGAGCCTGACAAGTAGCAGGGTTCTGGGCTGTGTGACGTTATCTTTGTTTCTCTCGCTCTCGCTCTCGCTCTCTCTCTCTCTCTGTCTCTGTCTCTTTCGCGTTCTTTCTCTCTACAAAAAAAGTATATATGTATATAGAGCATTTATTTGTTTACTTATTTTCATTTATTTCAGCAATTCTACGTATGTTTTCATATCTACGTATGTTTTCATGACAACATACACACATGCAGAAGTCCGACCCTATATAACCCCCCCCCCCCCCGCCACAAGCTGAGCCCTATATGGGTGAACAAAGGATGGCCCGCTCCCTCGTCTTGACCGGTGCTGTGCTCCTCTGCAGCGGCCAGGGACCAAGTTGTTGCAGGGCTCTGCGCCTGGGACCTAGGGCTTGTGTTTTAGGGTTTAGGGTTTAGGGTTTAGGGTTTAGGGGGAGGTTAATTTCCGTGGAAGTGGACCCTCAGCCCGCTAAATAGCCATGGTTTTTTGTATAGGACACCGCGCTGTCGGGATGCCGGGTTAGACTGATGTCGAGCCCTGAGCCCCAACGCCACGCGCTAAGCGCTTACGCCTCGTGGTAGGTGGGCAAAATTTCTTACGGAGTAGATTCAGGCAGCCTTCCCTTGATAGATGGCCCGAAAATGACCTTGTACCTGCACCACAAAAAGGGGCCCTTCTGGTTTTTGCGAGCCCGAACCCCGAAGCGAAATCCTTTGTCACACCCCTCCAGCGCGTCGAAAGCCCTAACCCCTACACCGCAAACCCGAATTATACCCTAAAACCCTAAGATCCTGGATTATGCCAAAAAGAAACCTTAATCCCCTAAACCCGAAGGTGCACTCTTCACGGCCTTCGTGGCTGCGCCCCGCGCTGCCCCGGCCCCGACCGCGCCCCACGCAGCCACCGCCGCCTTGAGCAGCGTGGCAGAGAAGGAAGATTTCAGGACTAAGGGTTCGGCCTTTAAGGGGTTCAGGGTTTAGGGTTTAGGGTGTAGGACCAGTGTAGGATTGGCGGTGGAAATGTGGGCTCGTGTTTTAGGGCTCGGCATTTCGAAAGCCCGTCGCAGAACTTTTTCTTTTGGACTGGACTTCCCTGATTGGAGGACCTTCCGCGTTTCAGGTAGGGATTAAAGTTCGCTATAGTACGGTTCTTGATCCGTAAGTTCTTGGGACAGGGTTTTTCATGGTCGGGTACACAAGATTCCAGCAAGGGGGGCAAGAACCATGGAATCCTGAAAGAAGCATGTTGAGGCGCCGTGACTTTGGTGGCTCCCGAGGCAGCCCATGCGGAGGCATTTCCGAGCGGATGCCGTAGTCAGACTTTGTGCGGACGGGTTGATGCACCACTGCAGCTTGACACGGACATGGCATCACAAGGAGAGCGTGTCAGGTTTTGGGAGAGTTAGAGCTCTACCTATTTTTATAATACGCCCTCTCCATAAGCCAGTCTGTTTATTGTTTTTTCATTGTTTTTAATGTTCTGACGGCTAGTCTGCGCTGGAGTGCTGCTTGGGTCTTTGCACGGGCTTCAGGATGAGAGCCCCAGAATAGGTTACTTTATATGGATATGTGTTTTGGTCATCAGTGTAGCTACAGGGCGCGGCGTTATGCTATTTCGATCCATGTAGAGATTGGGCCAAGATGAGGAGTAGCCTTAGCTTTCCGGCCTTGCAGGGCGGCGCCGTGTGGATCCCTGCGCTCTCGGCCATCGGCGCCGGATTCGCCATCGGCCTCGCCGCCATCGGCTCGGGCGTGGGCCAGGCTGCTTGGTTTGCGAAGCTTCTGGTGGCTGTCGGTGACTTGGTGGTAGTTCCCTGACGGTTGCTGCGCTTTCGCCCGTGAGGCATGAAAAAGGAATCAGGCAAGACAAAAGAGTACAATCACGATCACAGACTTGTCTCGACAGGGGCCCTCAAAGCTTTTAGAACAAAGCAAAGTGTGCTCACACAAGAAAAGCTCTGGTGCAGAAGTCCCTCAATGGAACCTCTTTGTGGTCAACTTGGTTTTCTTGGTACTAATGGTGCGTCCGGAAGGGAATGAAGACCTTCCCCCCCCCCAACCCAAAGCCCACAACCATGAACCCTAAACCATATGCATGCACTACACTCGTATATTTCTGTTTTGTTCATATTCCTGTTTATAGAGGGCTTAGGACTCCGACTGGCTTAGGGTTTAATGGTCCGCAGGGAATTGCCAGCGGCCGCTGCATTGATGGCATCTCCCGCCAGCCGGAGGCCTTGTGCCACTCCCTGCTTGAAGGTTCATGGGTTGTAAGTAACCATAAGTGTCGCCCCAAAGAGGTGTCAGTCAGTTCTAAGGATAGTCACGTGCGACAGCGCCAATGAACCCCCAAGCCGGCCCTCAACCCCAAAACCATACATATGACTGTAACCAAGAACTTCCATGACCCTCCAAGTCATGGGTTTACCAGCACACTGGGAGGTTGCGGACGACCTCCGTGGTGTGCTGCTGCTTGGCGCAAGCAGGGGCTTTGCTCCCTTTGCTCAGCCCACTCAAAGACCCAACAGCATGGAATCATCATCGGTGACTTCCGGATTGATGTCCAAGCAACTGTCCGTAATAGGCAACATATAAAATGCTCGAAATTCTCGTGCCACCTTAGTTAATGACCAAATTAAATATTTCCTCCTGGGGTACCAGAAACACAATTTCTCGTCTGTTGCAATGGGAAGCAGGCCCTAACCCTTAAACCTGCCTGAGGGTTTCAAACCCAAGGGCCTGACCCCTAAACCCTGAAACACTAAAACCCTTAAGCCCCCTAAACCCCATCTTAGGCTGCTGTCTCTGGCCTTCATGGAGTCTTTGACCATCTACGGCCTCGTGATTGCGCTGGCGCCAGCCCCGACGTGAGAGCGGCCGACACAAGTACCCTACTAGTAGAACTTTAAACTCCGAAACCCTAAACCCTAAAACCCCAAGACCCAAAAAAGCGTAAAGTAGGTGATTCGGACTCAAAGGCTCCAGGTGTTGGGGCTTTAGGGGGTTTCGGAGGGTGCGGGCGGCTTTTCGCCAGGAATATACCCTAAACCCTAAACCCTAAACCCGAAACCCTAAACCCTAAACCAGGAATGGAGACGAAAGCCGGGCCTCGGTCACTTCGCGTCCCCAAAGCCCTGAACCCCTAGACCCCATAAATTAGGGTTTAGGGTTTAGGGTTTAGGGTTTAGGGTTTAGGGTTTAGGTAAGTTGCAAGGTCTTGCGCCCCGGGAGATTGGACTTGCCTCCACGTGTCCTGAGTCACATACTGCATCAGCACACGGACATGATGCTTCGGCGCCAGCCTAAACCCCCCTAAACCCTAAACCCCAAACCCTAATACCTAAACCCCCTAAACCCTAAACCCTCATACCCTAGTACCCTAAAGCACTAAACCCGGGTTGTCAGCTGCCAAAAGTTTCAGTGCTGCCATTGGATGCCGATTCATAAAGAGTGTCACCCGAAACCCGAAACTGCCTGAGACTTCAAATTCTGTAGACTTTGAGCCTTTGCAACATCTGCAAGGCGCCCTAAACCCTACAAAGCCCCCAAGCTCTGGCATCCTGTACTTCCAAAGGTGCTCCTCTTCGCGAACCCGCTGATCAAGTGAGCAAGACCTCGGCGAAGCAGAGGAAGTTCTCCAGTACCGTAGCTTTAGGGGCTATAAGGGTTGAACAACAAAGAGCGGCGAAGACGAAAGATCCTCCGCCGCGAAATGTCATCGACAGGCCACTAGCCCAGTCGTTGGCAAAGGTGACACGGCGTGAGAAGGGGCAAGGAGAGCCGGCGCTGTAAGAAAGTGGCTCCTGGGTTCCTGGCCGGGCTTGGAAGCTCCCTACCCCACCCCCCTACCACCAAAACAACATCACCTCTCAACCCCAAGATCCTCCCTGCCCAGATGGTGCAGCGCATCTCCTAATCCTGCTCTTCAGGGCCCTTCCATCCGTGAAGGATGCTTTGTCGAGGCAACATGCAGGAGTCGGACTGTCCATGCCACCGCTCGCTGTCACAAACCAACAACATTCTCTGCTGCCGCTTGGCCCAGCTTTAGCTTTTTCCTCGCCACGCCGCTCCCGCTTCCCGCACCTGCGCCAAAGTCTTCGAAGCCACTCGGCTTTGCAGTTGCTCAAAGAATTAGCCTGAGGTTTTGGTTGAACTTATTACAACGAAAAGTCGCAAACAAGCATATTCGCTTCTCCCGAATCCTAAACTTACCTGTAGGTGTGACCAGTAAGTTAAGGTGGTGCTAGGGCGTGTCAACAAAACCTCGGTATCGAATCAAGTAGGTTCAGGGTTCAGGGCTGTAGAACGCTGTCCGTTTCTGTCTCTCTCTCTCTCTCTCTCCCTTTCTCTCGTTCTCAATGCTCCTCTCTAGTGATATATCTTTCTTTCTGTACCCCTTGATACATGCACAAGTGTAGTTCAGATACTTGCGCGCACTGGGCGCAGAACCCCCGCACTAAACCCTAAACCCTGGACCCCCCCAAGCAACCCGAAACCTTGAAACTTCCAAACAGAAACTAGACCCCAAAACATCCGAAAGCACTGCGCAAAACCTCTACCCTTTGTCATAGTGGGGTAACATTTTACATCTTGAAGGGTACTTAAACCCAGTAAGGACTAGAAATTCAAAGTTTCAATGCTATCTCAACCATGAACTCGTAAAGCCCCCCTGAGCCCAGAATGGCCCGCTCCCTTGTCTTGACTGGCGCCGTGATCCTCTGCAGCGGCCAGGGGCCAAGTGCTTGTAGGGGCTGAGGGCTTGGGTTTCAGGTTTAGGGTTTAGGGTTTAGGGTTCAGGGTTTGGGCTTAGGGTTTAGGGTTCATGGTTTAGGTTTAGGTTTAGGGTTTAGGGTTAGTTTCAGGTTTTTTCGGGCTTAGGGCTGAGGGCTTGGGGTTTGGTGTACAGTCTAGCGGGCTTAGGGTGTCTAGGATTCAGGGTTCTGGGTTCAGTATTTCAGATCTGAAGTCGAGGTTGGAAGAGAGGGTCGTTGGGCAAGAGCAGATACCTTCCCTTTATGAAATGGTCCCGAAATCTACAGTAGGCTGGTTAACAACTTAAACCCTAACCCCTAAAACCTTAAAACCCTAAAGCCTTAAAACCCTAAAACCTTACAACCCTAAAACCCTGAAACCCCAACCACTCAAGTCCCAAACCTAAACCCTAAGGTGCGCTCTTCACGGCCTTCGTGGCCGCGCCCCGCGCCGCCCCGGCCCCAACCGCGCCCCATGCCGCCACCGCCGCCTTGAGCATCGAAGCTGAATCGAGGGTATGGGGCTTAGGGCATGGGCTTGAGGGGTTTCGGGTTTTAGGGTTTAGGTGCAATTCGCCCTAGAAAATAGAACCCCCAACTGTAGACCCTGAACTCGACATCGGTGTCGGAATGGCGGGCCCGGTGGCCCGGTGGGTTTGTGGTGGTGGATTTTGGGCTTTAGGGTTGATGAGCTTTTTTGGGTTTCAGGGTTTAGGGTTTATATGATTTTAGCATGTTAGGGTTTAGGGCTATATGATTTTAGGATATTAGGGTTTAGGGTTTAGGCTAGGGTTATAGATTTTTGGATTTTTGAGTTTTAGGGTTCGGGGGTTGAAGGTGTTAGTGTTTAGGGTTCAGGGCATGCTGCTGATTTGCATTTGAGATCGGGCTTTTTTAGGGGGTCAAGAAAAGAGGTCGCCCCAAAAAATCAAGTATAGGGACCGAATGTCTCTTTTGGGCAGTGTATGTGCTTTTTAACCTATATTGGGGGATTGTTAAGGAACCCTAAACCCTAAACCCTAAACCCTAAACCCTAAACCCTAAACCCTAAACCCTAAACCCTAAACCCTAAACCCACGGTATTCAGACTGTTGCGATGGCAGGCGCCGCGACGCTGATCGCCCCCGCAGCTGCCCATGCCGAGGTGCCTTGACGAAGCCGGTTTGGAATGCGGGGGGTGGCTTCCGAAAATAGGGGCACCCTTCTTGGTCTAGTGTTTAGGATTTAGGGTTTAGGATTTAGGGTTTAGGGTTTTAAGTGTAGGGTTTAGGGTTTAGGGTTCCTACAAGAAGGATTCTAGTATTTGGGGTATACAATTACCCATGCCCATGTAGGCTTCGGGGCTGCTCTTGCCCCAGAAGTCTTTGTCGACACAACCAAACCTTGCTTCTCACCTATAGACCCTCAACCCTGAACCCCTAAACCCTAAACCCTATACCCTATACCCTAAATACCCTAATCCCTAAACCCTAAATCCTAAACCCTAAACCCTACAACCCTAAACCCAAGGACGGCGCCGTGTGGATCCCCGCGCTCTCCGCCATCGGCGCCGGCTTCGCGATCGGCCTCGCTGCCATCGGCTCGGGCGTGGGCCAGGCCTTGCTCCTGCGCATGGGGACGCTATGTGAGGGTTTACGATATTCGGGTTTAGGGTTTGGGGTTTGGGGTTTTAGGGGAATGAGTCTGGATGTCGATTTCAATTCTGTATTACAATCGATTTTGATACCTGCGTCCAGGTTTTCTTGATTGGGTTTGCAAATCAATTGAAATCGATGTTAATGCCTTCTTGAGTTTTGCCTCGGAGACGACTTAAAATTGATTTTAAAACCCTGGTCCAGAGTTTAAGGCTTCAGAAACACTTGAAATCGATGTTAATTCATGTTGCTCTCTGGACCCCTTCAGAACGCATTAAAATCGATTTTAAGTGCTTCCCATTGCGAAAGCCGTAAAAATCGATGTTAATTCATTTTGCTCTCGTTTCGCCAGGGAATTGCCAGCGGCCGCTGCATTGACGGCATCTCCCGCCAGCCTGAGGCCCGATCCCTTACCCTAAACCCTAAACCCTAAACCCTAAACCCTAAACCCTAAACTTACTAAGGTTCAGCGCGTTTAGGCTTTCATCGGCCTTTCTAGGATGGAGGTTGTTTTTTGGGGCAGGAGCGCGGGCGGGGGGGGGGGGGGATGGCTGCTTAGGAAGTATCGGGGAGCTTACAATGTTGAGGTTTTCGTGCATAGGGCTTTTAAATACAAAATGTGGCAGCTGTCTTGTCAAGCTGAACTCGAAGGTTGCGGATGACCTCCGAGGCGTGCTGATACTTGGCTGCACAGGGGGCGCAAAAGGTTTGCGCCTGCACATGACTACCATATCAGTACCTTGCACCACTAGAGGCTTGAAGCCAAGCCGGGAAGGGCAGGGAAGGGCATGGGCATTTTCGGAATCTTGGGTTTGGGTTGTTAAACAGTGTGCAATTTCGGGTTGAGGGTAAGTGAGATTGCGGAATATCATCTGACTGTCAGAAAACTCAATGACTGCAGCAGGTCCGAGCAATGCTCCGTAAACGAACGCCCCCCCCAGGTGTAGGAGAACCATAGCCGCCCACAAGCCCCCTTGAACAAGCCGTCGCCAGAGCATCCCGGAACAGAGTCTACTCCAAACTTCATCCCAGGTTGTTGTCTTTGGCCTTCATGGAGTCCTTGACCATCTACGGTCTCGTGATTGCCCTGGCGCCAGCCTAAGCCTGGGTTCAGGGTGTTTAGTGCGAGATCCTAGGCCTCAATTCTGGCATCTTGTCGAAGTTCACAACCCTGGAACCCTTGCAGGTCCTTCTAAAGCTGAACCGAAAGTAAGCAACCTAGGCCCTTACCCCCCAAGCCCTAAACCCTCAACCCACATCATCTTGCTTGGCTTGCAACCTGTCCGGTGCACCCTTAAGGTGCTCCTCTTCGCGAACCCTCTGATCAAGTGAGCTAAGACGTCGGCGAAAGTGGAGGAAGTTCTCCAATACTATCAGGGTCGGCCAAGGTACTCTCAGAAATGTGCCAGGATCTAGGCTTCTTTCTCTAGGGTGTAGGGCCGATAAGCCGCGCCGCATCCTCCACGGTGGGCTGCGCCACTGCTAGCCCAGTCGCATGTCCAAGATGAGGCAGCGCGACAACGGAAGAGGCAAGCAGAACTCGCGCGCCAAGAACATGTGTCCGGCTTGTTGGGATGGCGAATGGCTTAAGTGAGGTTGATAATGCCAACAATTTTTGGTTTGAAGGTTGAATAGGGCTTCTGCCGGGGTTGAGAAAAATAGAACACAAGCAACAAATACAAGCACAGGCCAATCCCTAAACCCTATCTGGGACCCTCTTCACCTACAGTTTTATGGGTTGTACCTACTCAGTAAGGGTAACTACTACTAAACTGTAGGCAAATAGAGTCCCAGTTAAGTCCTAAACCCTAAACCCCAAACCCTACACCCTACACCCTAAACCCTAAACCCTAAACCCTAAACCCTAAACCCTAGACCGCTATCCGCAGACCTGGGGGGCCCTTCAAGGGCTCCAACCTGCTTCCCAGGCACCCAGCCCTGCAATTGCCCAAGCCGAAGCCGACGTCCCATGCAACCAATTGGGTTTTGGGTTTGGGTTTAGGGTTTAGGGTTTAGGGTTCAGGGTTTAGGGTTTAGGGTTTAGGGTTTAGGGTTTAGGGTTCAGGGTTCAGGGTTCAGGGTTCAGGGTTCAGGGTTCAGGGTTTGGGTTTAGGGTTCAGGGTTCAGGGTTCAGGGTTCAGGGTTCAGGGTTTAGGGTTTAGGGTTTAGGGTTTAGGGGTTAGGGTTCAGGGTTCTGGGTTAAGGGTTTAGGGTTTAGGGTTGAGGGTTTAGGCTAGGCATAGGGTTTAGGGTTGGTGAGGGGCGTTTGGGGAGTTACGTGGGCAGTATGGGTTTCACCCGAGCTGCTGCTACCTGTCTCGAAGCTTGTACCCTGCACTCTGCTTTCGGGGTTACCATTCTTTCAGAAGAAGCTTGGCATCAATTCAGGGTATATACGCCTTCTAGGTAGGGCACCATGCTTCTGAGCGCAGACAGAAGCAGCTCTTGCTACCTATCGGCTCAGCTTCGGTGCCGTCCCGCAGCTGCGCCCGAAGCATCTCAAGACCCTTGGCCGGTTTGGGGGGTTTAGGGTTCCGGCTGGTGGTCGAAAATCCACAAAGTCTGTCTTTAGTGAAGTGGTCGGCGCTTGAGGAGTTTCAGGCGTACAGGGAGTTTAGAGTTCAAGGTTAGGGAGTCTAGGGTTTAGTATTTAGGGAGTTGAGGATTTCGGGCGCGGGGATTTTAGGGCTTAGGGAGTCTAGGCATTTCTCTGCAATGAAGAAGCCCTGAGTCCAAGCCTGCCCCAAAGCCAGGTCCTAAACAGCTAAGGCCTTGGGCCCTAAACCCCCCAAGAACCCTAAACCCCCCTAGAAGATCCTAAAGCCCTGAGACCCCAGAGACCCCAAGCCCAACATTTTGCAGCTTGGGCTGTGGGCCCATCTGAAAAGCTTTCTAAAAATGCCATTTGCCCAAGCAAAACCCCCTAAAGCATATTCTTCCTTAGCAGGGTACTATAGAGATTTTTTATCTTAGAAGCCACCCAAAAAGCAACGATAATCTTCCTTAGAAGGACAATCTAGAGAACAAATTGTCTTTTTTCTTTGTTTAATATTCAACTGGGGTGAACATAAACAAGTAGTGGCGAAGCACCTGAGGATGGCCCGCTCCCTCGTTTTGACGGGTGCTGTGCTCTTCTGCAGCGGCCCGGGGGCCCACTTCCTTGCAGTTTTTTGGGGCTTTGGGGTCGTAACGTCTTTGTAATTTGGGGTTTTGGGGGGTTTAGGGCTTAGGGTTTAGGGTTTAGGGTTCTAGGTTTTTGAGGTATGGAGTTGCAGGGTTTTGGGTTTGGGGGTTCCAGGTTCTCAGGAGCCAGCCCGGGCACAGATGGTTCCCTTAACCTCCCTGCCAATGGGCACCCTAAACCCTCAACCCTCAACCCTAAACTTTAAACCCAAAGCCCGATAAACCTGAAACTAAACCCTAAACCCTAAACCCTAAACCCTAAGCCTTGAAACTCCCTCGGCCCTGAATCCCAACCCCTAAGTAAACCCAAGAACCCTAAAGCTCTAAAGCCTCAAGCCCAAAACCCTCAAATCCTAAAACCCTAAACCCTAACCTATACCTGATAAAGCCTCCAAACCCTTTAAACCCTAAAGCCCTAAACACAAAAACCCGAAACACCCCCAAACTCCAGCGCGCTCCAGACGCAGAAGCCCTAAACCCAAAAAACCTAAGAATCTAAAACCCGAAAGCCCCGAGGCACGCTCTTCACGGCCTTTGTGGCCACGCCGCGCGCCGCCCCGGCTCCCCCCGCGGCAACCGCAGCCCTGAGCAGCGTGTCTGAAAGGGAGGGGGTTTTGGGGCGAACTTAAGGAAGGCTTCCGAAGAGTCGTGAAGCCTCAAACGCTAAACCCTTTCGTGCGGATTCCTGTACCCGACCTCTACTCCAGGAAGGACTCCACCAAAGGCTTCCCTAAACCTCCTTCGCTTCGGCTTTAGGGTTGAGGGCCCGCTTGGGGCCCTAAACCCTAAACAACCCGAACAAGCCCGAAAACCCTCAACCCCAAACCCCCAACCCGAATTAAAAGTCCTAAACCCCAAGCCCTAAATAACCCCAAAGCCGAAAACCACCCTAACTCAAAGCCCAAAACCCCCAACCCTAAATCCTTCAAACCCCCTAAAACCCTCCAAGAACCTCCCAAAACCCCCTAAAACCCCTTAAAACATCCTAAAACCCCCTAAAACCTCCTAAAACCCCTGAAAACCCCCTGAAAACCGTTTTTGGTGTTCGCCGTAGGGTTTGCGAGGAGGATGCGGCTTGCGACCTTCAGGCCAGAAGCAAACTGACGCCCAAAAACCCTAAACTCCTAAGCCCTCAACCCCAACACCATGAGCAGATGGACCCGTGTTCTCCGTCACGGCACCTGTGGCCACAGGAGGCGCCAAGACGCTGGCGGCAAATGAGGCAGCCGAGGCATTTCCGGGTAGAGCTTGGTGCATGCTTTACGAGTGAAAAACCCCTAGACCCTACAGCCTGATCCCGACAGGGTTTGAGCCAATAGAGCTTGAGATGTTCCCCCTTAAACTAACACACCTTAGTACGGATTATGACAGGGGGTACTAGAATCCCTCTGCTAGCACAAGGGGAACATCCCAATTCAGAGCCCCGAAAGCTCCTAAACCCCTAAGTTTTAAGTGTTAGAGCCCCTGAACTCTTAAACCCTAAACCCCAAACCTTGCACCCAAAACCCGAAACTCTAAACTCCAAACTCCTAAACCCTAAACCCCTAAACCCTAAACCCTAACCCCCAAGTGCTTGGATGGACCTGATGAGGCTACAGCCTCCACGCCGGCTGCGCAGCAGGCATCGCTCCCTTGACTCTTGTGGTGAACAGGTTCGAAGGGAGCCTTGGCTGTTCAGGATTAGAAGGGTTGGTCAAAATTTGAGTCCCTTCAAGGGACTTGAAAATCGAATCCAGTTGCAAAAGGGATCCTCAAAAAAGGGATCCGATTTAGCACAGTCCTCATGCATCATCCCACCCGAAGCCGTCCAAGGTAGCCTAAAGCAATGATCTTCAGTTGGTGTGTAGGCGTGAACCCTAAACCCTGAACCCCCCCCCCCCTTCGCATGCCACAACTTTCAGTGGCCATGGGCTTATTGGCTTTTGACATGCCTGCTTTACAGAACTTCGGGCTTGAGGCTGCAGGGTTCGAGGATTTCAGAGCTGGTCCGTGACGACCGCAGGAGGCCCTGAAAAGGCCCAGAGCCAACAGCCATCCTAAATTCCATACCCTGCCCCCAAGCCTCTCCATATCTTTTTTTCAAGGCACCCCTAACCCGCCTAAACCTTAAACCCTAACCCCTAATCCCTCAACCCTAGAAACTCCTTAAGATCTGAGCCCGCCTTTAGCATTGCAGGAGCGCGGCTCCTTTGTTTCTAGCAGTTCCCTGCTGCTGTTTGCTGCAGGGGGCCCAGCTGGGATGGTGATCAGGTTTAGGGTTTAGGGTGTAGGGTAATTGAGAGTTCTTTCGGCTGTTGAGGGTTTCGGGATTCAGGGTGTTTAGTGGCATGTAAGTTTAGGTGCTTTAGCTGTTATTCATCGCGGGGCCCTCCCTGTCTGTCGAATTTGCGGTTGTTGTGTGCGCATTTTGGGTGTCAGGGTGTTTGTGGCTTAGGCTTCATGGGGCTCAAGCAGGCCACTCGAAGTTGCAACCAAACGTCAAGCCTCCAATCCCATAAGGTTGCTAAACCCCGTAAAGATTGCAAATCCTACAAGCCCTCAACGCTATGAGCCACATATGCCTAAATGCCCCCCAAAAATCCGAACTCTATCAGCTCTCAACCCTGAACCCTATTTACTCTAAAGGCCCAAAGACGGCATTCAGCTTCGAGGTCAAGGGCTCCGGCTTTAGCCGTAGGGTGCTTGTATGGGATTTCGGGTTTGGGATTTTGCGGTTTTTGTAAACGGCTTCGGCTTTTTTATTGAGAGTTGTACGTGTGAAGCCCAAAGCCGAAAGTCCTCTCAATCCCGAAGCCCTTTCAACACCCCTACAGCCCATTGACTCTACTAAGGCCCCGCATCTCTGCAGCCCCAATGTAGTGCTACAAAGCCCGGTTAAGGCCAGAATTCAGGCAGTCTGAGTCCTAAACCCTAAGCCCTAAGCCCTGCGAAGACAAGCCCGAAAGCCGAAAGGGTTCCATGCACCCACACCGTGGATACTCAGACCAAGATGTGGCGCAAGAGTAATCAACTTGTGCCACGAGTCAGTTGTTGGCCTGGGATATGTACACGTGTGTATGCATACATATTTAGTGTGTATCTAGAAACAGTATGTATATCAGAACATCACCAGAACATCACCTAACCCAACATGCTAGAAGTGCAATCTA